CCGATATATGGGGGGGGGGGGGGGGCGAAGCTCGAGTCTGTCGGCCTCTACGCGGAAGGCGGCAGGCATCCGTGTTCCCTACCCGGCACCCGTCGCTCGTCTTCTTCCCCCCCCTCCCCCACCTTCAACCCTTGATACACGGCGGGCCACCGAGTCCGGCGTGTTCCTCGCACAGCGCCCAGTCACCCGTCGCAGCGGCGGCGGGAGGCGGCGTGGCGTCGTGCACTGGACGCTTCCACGCGGGCCTAGCGATCACTGGGCTGGGGATGGTGCCGGGTGGCGGACAGTTTGCGGGGGGCCGTTCCGTCGGGGAGAGGGGCGTGTGTTGGGGAAGGAATGCGTGCTGCTGTGTTCCCGGCTCTTTTGCTCGTCTGGTCTGATCTGGTCCTCCCACTCTGCTCCGCTCATTGGAGGAATGGGGAGGCGTGGTAGGACGAGGTTGCGCCGTGGACGTCTCGTCTTGATGACTGTGGTTGGGAAAGATTGAGGGGGGCAAAGCCGAGAAAAGGGGGCCGGGGCTCCTCATTCTCCCCATGGCCCCCATGGCGTTGGAGGGAAAGCGATGTTTTTTGCTACGCAGCCAGGTATTTCGAGTATACCCCCTGGTATACCTTACGTTGTGGCAACTTTTTTCCTTGTGATGCATCCATCTAGTTCCAGGCGTATGCGGCCCCCGTACGAAGCGTGCGTGTCGTGCCTGTGAAAGAGGCTCTTACTCACTCGGCACAAATGCTTGACTGTGGTTTCAGCGCGCGGACTCCAGTCAGCTTCGGGCTTGGCTGTTGCTGGGAGCTCTCGTGTGTGTTGACATGTGCTCTTGCGGATGCAGGTCCCTCTCGATGGGTGTTTGTCGACAGCCGAGGCTCGTGATGGTGATGGCATCATGATGCAAAGGACCGACGTGCTTTTGCTGCCAGGCTTTTCATGGTTGAAGATTGCAAACGCATGTGATGGATGTATTACCTTGGGATGAGTGCATTGAGGCTGATTCGCGAAGAGCATGATTACGTCTTGCCGGGAGACGGTTCATTATTGAATCGGGCAAAGTGGTCATATTTTTGCAATGGATATGCAGCGCCCTGAAGTTCCGAGAGTATGTGTATTTGCAGACAAGAGACGTGAATGAAGTGGGACTTGAGCATGTGACGCAAGAGACATCTCTTCAAGGTCTTCTCACCTTCTGCCCGCATAGATGGTGTCAGTCATCGGCCCAAGTGAGAACACGGCGCTTTCGGGTAGCAGAAGTCTGGAAAGCCTGAAAAGCCTGGTATATTCTTCACCTACTTGTTAAGAAGTCATGGGTTTCGATGCCTCTCGTTATGGAGTGCTCATGGTCTCAAGAGAGTCCGATCTTGAAGAATGGATACAAGCCTCTCGCACAGCTTCGGCGGGGTGAGAAACCAGACGATACACCCCTAGAAGTCTAGACCCGACCATGAACGCGAAACTCGGACCTCAAAGATCGGAACAATGAATTCATGTCTCGATACCAAGCTCCCTTCACGCCTCGACACCAAGCTTTCCAACGCAACACTGCGCCTGAACGCACCCGGACGGCCAGATGCACACCCCAGACGTGTCCGAAAAAAGAACCGATCAAGGCACATGCGGCCCAACCCCACGACCACCGCAGGCGCCAGAACGCAGCCGGCGCAGCACAAAGCCATTGTCCGTCGAGTCAAGCGGCCCAGCGAACCCCATCCACTAAAACGACGGCCAAAGGGTCCCCTGCTAGATTCTGCCCAACGTGTCTCACTGTGCACCCCGTCCACGCACACACATACATGTACACACACTAGCAAAAAAAGCCAAGTGAGACAACGAGCAGAGCAGCAAAGCACACGAGATCGCATCACGTCACCAGAAGACCTTTTGGCCTTTCCCCAGCCCCAGACCCCCCCTCCGTCCGCCCGCCCGCCCTTGGGAAAGAGGCTGCAACGAAAGGGCCGCCCCATGCACCGGGGAGGGCAGAGATCCAGACCCAGGTAAGGTTTTGAGACATGAAAAGGGGAAAAAACCAGACATGTGGTTTACTGGCTCGCCTTTCCAGGGTCCGGGAGGCATTTCCCCGGTTTTCCCGGGCGTGATAAGGTAAGTCCAGTGCTTCAGCCGCTTGGGGGGGGGGGGGGGGTGAGGGATTGATGAGAAGCGCTAAAAACAAACTCGGGACAAAAACCAACACCAAGCGGGCGGTCATCAATCACAGCCACACACACATAAACACAGGAAGGATCTCCCTCTAGCCAGAAAGCAAGCCTCAGATACCTATAGATGGCTGAGAAGCCCGGGAAAAGCACACACACAAGCCGCATCTTCCCCCTTCCTCAGCACGCAACTTGGAGAGACAGAGAACGGAAGGCCACTCACACCCGTCTGCAGGGTACAAGCCCGCTCCCCCCATCCCCCCCCCTCCCCAAGATCAGAAGGTCGCGAACGTTCCTCCCGCTGCTTAGGGGATCAGCTCCAGCGCGCTACTGCACGCTGGTTCTTCCCACTTGACCTCGTCCCGCGCCAGCGACTGGCCCGTCCCGACCGTGGGGGAGGAGAGGGGGATGCAAGATGCTGCCCGCCCTGCTTCGGGGCAACCCACTTACAGGACCTGCGAACCGAAATGTTGGATTCCTCCCACCGCATAGGCTGATCCTCCTACCCCCCTTGTCCCACGACGGGGGGTCGAGTGGACTCAGGTGGATGGGGAAGAGTGCGCTGCTGCCTCATCTTTTCGTGCGTGGCGGCGGTCTGCCTACGAGAGCAAAACAAGATGGTGAGGTAGGAAAACGGCCCTCGTGGTGTGAGATGGCGCAGGGGCAGGAGCAGCATCGGCGCTTCTGGCACAGCGAGTCCACTTGGCCGCCGCAGGGCGCGATCACGGGGTGAGAAAGGGCGATCTCGATGCGTATAATGATGCGAGACGATCAGACGCAGGTTTGCCAGACTGGCCATGGCACAACGATGCGTGCGTCGTACACACACAAACATCAAGAACGGCTCGTATCAAGACCCGGTGCCAGAGACGATCGTCACTGACTTTGATCAACGGCAAACAGTGCTGGTAGGTCACAGAAAAGGAGCAGCTTGCTGTACGTAGTACCGTCCACAGGTGGACATCGTGATAGTCATTCATCAATAAAATCCGTCTCTCGTGTGCACCCATCACATCATCATCCAGGTAGCTCCAGAACCCAGTATTCCGTCCCATCCCATCACATGCCTCCGCCCCCATGCCGGTAATGTCCCGTCTCGCCAATTTGCGAATGCCCAGAGTTCCATGCCATCCAACCGTCCCGTCCGCCCAACCGTCCTGTTCTCCGTATGTTCAGTCCTGTCGTGTCCATGAGATCCACGTCCCTGAGACCAGCTCTCAGCCTCTCCGTGACCGTTTCCCAGCATGCCACCGACCGATCCAACAGTGTACAAGAAATAAGGAAAATCCGAGGTGACAAAGGGAAAATGGGGCGTCACCCGTGGTGGGGGCTTGCCGGTCCAAGTCTCCGCCCGCCTCTGCTCCGCCCGAGCAGTAGATACCAGACTTGATATATGAAACAAATCAAAGGTAACCAAGGACTCAAAAATCAGAATGCTCGCTCGCTCGCTTCATAGCTAGGGACACAAAATATGGGGGTAAAAAAAGAGGGGGTTGATGTGAAGAAGAAGTAAGAAGAAGGCTGGCATCATACCAGAAGAAGAAGGACAGCAAGCATAAGGCTTAGTCCAAAGGTAAGAAAGTTCATTTGATGCGTGAGCAACAGTATCTGGGTTGCGCGGGAGCGGCGTTGATTGTATGGTCGATTCAGTCGGGGTAGGCGCAATGGAAGTAAGGGAAATCATCATCGTCGTTAGGAAAATCCAGACTCATTAGACGCGTTGTCGTCATTAGGCCGGAGGGTCATCATCGGCCAGTCGTTTCTCCGTTTTAGCTCCTAAGTCATCAAGGGCCGTTGGATTCATCGGGCAATCGCGTCTATGCATTGCTGCCGTTCGTTCTGCTGAGCGTTGTTGCACTCAGCCACCATTTTCGCGAAGTTCTTGACCACCTCCGTAGGAATCTGGTCCCAGAGGAGAGATCGGGTGTATACCTCGGCCATTGACTGTTTGTTGTTGTTGCGCATCGAGGAGAGGGCTTCAGCTAGGTTGCGGCGGCCCTGACTCGTGGAGCGCTCGGGGACGTTGTGCATAAAGTCCTGCGAGTGGACGCCGTTGTACTGAGCTGCCGACATCGAGAAGATTTGCTCGTTGTTCTGCTCCTCGTTGGGCTGGGTCAGGGTGTCACCGAGCTGGCCCAGCATCGAGGGCGCCATGCCGTCGAGGCCAGAACCGGCCATGCCCATGGCCGGGTCATTGACCCAGTTGGCACCCGAAGGCTGAGGAGCGCCGGCATGCATCGTGTTGGTAGACTCATCAAGCCCGGCGTCCTTGAAAACGTTCTCAAGAAGCGTGGCCGCCTCGGCCCGCACATCATCGGACACGCGGGGGATGCTGGGCGCGGACCGGTTTGAGAGGACGAACGCACCGACAAGGAAGAGCATGAAGAGGATACCACCCTGAGACGACGGCTTCTCGACCTCGGCGGGGAAGTTGATCTCGGACTTCTTGGGCGGTGGTGCCATCTGGAGGAA